CACGAGGTCAAGAGATCGAGACCATCCTGGTCAACAAGGTGAAACCCCGTCTCTACTAAAAAAAAAAGTACAAAAAATTATCTGGGCATGGTGGCGCGTGCCTGTAATCCCAGCTACTCAGGAGGCTGAGGCAGGAGAATTGCCTGAGACCAGGAGGCGGAGGTTGCGGTGAGCCGAGATCGCGCCATTGCACTCCAGCCTGGGTAACGAGTGAAACTCCGTCTCAAAAAAAAAAAAAAAAAGAATTCTACAGTATGCAGCTTTTTCAGATTGGTCTCTTTTACTTAGCAACGTGATTTTAAGATTCCTCCCAGTCTTTCATGTCTTGATAGTTCATTTTTAAAAATTGCTGAATAGTATTCTACATTATGAATGTACCACAGTTTGTTCATCCATTTGCCTGTTGAAGAACATCTTGGTTGCTTTCAAATTTTGACAATTAAGGATAAAGCTCCAGTAAATACTCATGTTTTGGTTTTTGTTGGGACATAAGTTTTCAGCTCCTTTGGGTATCTGCAAAGGAGTTTTTATTTTTGGAGATGGAGTTTCACTCTGTTGCCCAGGCTGTAGTGCAATGGTGCGATCTCGGCTCACTGCAACCTCCACCTCCCAGGTTCAAGCAATTCTCCTACCTCAGCCTCCCGAGTAGCTGGGATTACAGGCACCCACCAACATGCCTGGCTAATTTTTGTATTTTTGGTAGAGACAGGGTTTCACCATCTTGGCCAGATTGGTCTTGAATTCCTGATCTTGTGATCCACCCACCTCAGCCTCCCAAAGTACTGGGATTACAGGCATGAGCCACTGTGCCTGGCTGTAAGGAGCATGATTGCTGGATTTTATAGTAAGAGTATGTTTAGTTTTCCAAGAAACTGCCAAATTGTCTTTCAAAGTGGCTGCATTCCTATCAGCAACTAATTAAAGTTCTTTTTGCCCTATATTGTTGCCAGCATTTGTTGTTGTCAATGTTTTGGATTTTTATCATTTTTTTTTTTTTTAAAGGCAGAGTTTTGCTTTTGTTGCCCAGTCTGGGTGCAGTGGTGTGATCTGCAACCTCCGCCTCCCAGGTTCAAGCAATTCTTCTGTGAGTAGCTGGGATTACAGGCATGTGCCACCATGCTTGGCTAAGTTTTTGTATTTTTAGTAGAGATGGGGTTTCTCCATGTTGATTAGGCTGGTTTCAAACTCCCAACCTCAGATGATCCATCCTTCTTAACTTTCCACAGCGCTGGGATTACACATGTGAGCCACCATGCTTGGCTGGATTTTTGTCCTTTTAGTAGATGTGTAATGGTATCACATCATTGGGTTTCATATTCTTTTAAAAAACATTATGCTTAAGCCTGGGCAACATGGCAAAACTTTGTCTCTACAAAAATAGAAAAATTAGCTGGGCATGGTGGTGCATACTGGTAGTCCCAGCTACTTGGGAGGCTGAGATGGAAGGAATGCCTATGCCTGAGTGCTAAGAGGCTGTAATAAGCTGTGATGGTGCCACTATACTCCAACCTAGGCGACAGAGTGAGACCCTGTCTCAAAAAACAAACAAGCAAACAAGCAAAAAAACCCAAACCAAAAAAGCATGCTATGTTCAGCTGTGTGTAGTGGTGTGCACCTGTAGTTCCTGCTACTCAGAAGGCTGGGCAGGAGGATTGCCTGAGCCCAGGAGTTCAAGTCCAGCCAGGGAAACATAGTGAAACCCTATTTCTTTTAAACAAACAAACAAAAAAACAAGAAAAAAACCCCAGCAGGATCAGGAGTGCTTTAAAAAGTCATTGTAATATTGGATAATGTCAGATTGATAAATTTTTTTTTTTGAGAGAGAGTCTCACTTTGTCGCCCAGGCTGGAGTGCAGTGGTGCGATCTCAGCTCACTGCAACCTCTGCCTCCCAAGTTCAAGGAATTCCCCTGCATCAGCCTCCTGAGTAGCTGAGACAACAGACGCACACCACTAATTTTTGTATTTTTAGTAGAGATAGGGTTTCACCAGATTGGCGAGGCTCATCTCAAACTCCTGACCTCAAGTGATCTGCCTGTCTTGGCCTCACAGAGTGCTGAGATTACAGGTGTGAGCCACTGCACAGAGCCGCCAGATTGTTAGCCTTTCTTTAGAAGTTAGCCTTTAGTATGATTGTCTTACTTTTTTATACTAAATGAGATATTAGCCTAGAAGAATCTGGTTTAAGAAGTAGATAATTTTCATTTATTTTTACTTCTTAATTAAAAATCACGTTTAAGAATATATAGATCAGGTCTACTCTTTTTAACTGTTATGTAGTAATCATCGTATTAATATACCACCTTGTCACCCATTTTCCCTACTGAGGACATTTAGATTGCTTCCTTATTTTTAAATTTTATCTTTATTTTTGGTAATCTTTGCTACAGTGAACATCCTGATGGTTGTCTTCTTGAGTAAACTGAGTGTTCAAGTGTGTCTTTGGGCCACAGTTTTAAAAATTGTGTCCATGACCCATTAGGGGTAGAAAAATTAGTTTATTGGCTCGTGACCAGTATTTAAAAAAGAAAGTAGTGAAACAGAGTAGAAAGCATTAGAGTGTAGTACACATATAAATTAAGTTTCAACTTTTTATGTGTGCATTTGGTCATGATATAAAATACATTTCTTACTGTGGATGCTAGTCAAAAACATTAGAAAGCCCCCTGGAAGTGGGATTGCTGGGTCTAAAGGGTGCCCCTTTCCCCTTTCTGAGTGCCTATTTTAGCTATTGCCAAATTGTTCTTGAAAGAGCTTATGGCAGTTTACTGTTTTACTCTATGGTGTGAGAATACCATTTCCCCAAATGTCTAGCACTTTATGTGAGTACACATATGACTCCTGTTCTTTATAAAGTATTTCCCCTGTCTAGCCTCATTTTTTCTAGTTAGCAAATATATGCCATGATTAGCCCGTTTTAAATTGGGATGTAAAATTCATCCTTTAGTATACAAGTCACTGGTTTTTAGTGTACTCATGAGACTGTCCAGGTATGACCACAAATTCTACGGCATTTTCATCACCCCTGAAAGAAACCTAGTACCCATGAACAGTCACTTTCCATTTCCATTTCTCCTAGCCTTGGCAATTCCTAATCTAGGTCCTTTCTGGATCTGTCTGCCTCTTCTGGACATTTCATATAAATGAAATCATATCATATGTGATTTTTTATGTCTGGCCATCCTTACTTAGCCTAGTGTTCTCATGGCCCATGTATGTTGTGATCAGTACTTCACTCCTTTCCATGGCTGAATACTTTCCATTGTGTGTGTGTGTGTGTGTATATATATCTATATATATCTATATATATATATCTATATATATATCTCACATTTTGTTTATCTCTTTATCAGTTGATGAACATTTGGGTTGTTTCTACTTTTTGGCTATTATAAATATAATACTGCCAGGAACTTTCATATGCAAGTTTTTGTGTAAACATATGTTTTCACCTCTTTTGGATGATTACCTAAGAGTGAACCGTCACATGACAACTCCATGATTAACCTTTCAAAAAACTGCCAAATAGTTGCTCAAGACAGCTATACCAACCTGTATTTTCACCAGCAATGCATGAGTCTCCAGTGTCCATGAGTCTTCATGAGTCTCGGGAGGCTGAGGCACAAGAATTGCTTGAAACTGGGAGGCGGAGGTTGCAGTGAGCTGCAATCGTGCCACTGCACTCCAGCCTGGGCAACAAAGTGAGAGTTTGTCTCAAAAAAAAAAAAAAAAAAAAAAAAAAGGCCAGCCATGGTGGCTCATGCCTGTAATCCTAGCACTTTGGGAGGTGAGGAAGATGGATCTCTTAAGCTCAGGAGTTCAAGACCAGCCTGGGCAACACAGTGAGACCCCATCTCTAAAAAAAAATATATATATACAAAATACAAAAATTTTTACCAAAATTTTGCCAATACCTGATATTATTTGTCTTTTTGGCTACTATAGCCAGCCCTAGTAGGTTTGAAATGGTATCTCATTGTGTTTGTCTGTCTTTTTTTTTGCTACAGGTTCTCACTCTGTTGCTTAGGCTGGAGTGCAGTGGTGCAGTCACAGCTCACTGCAGCCTTGTCCTCCTGGGCTCAAGTGAGACAGAGTCTTGCTCTATTGCCCAGGCTGGAGTGCAGTGGCATGATCTTGGCTCACTGCAGCCTCTGCCTCCCAGGCTCAAGCGATCTTCCTGCCTTAGCCTCTGGAGTAGCTGGGATTACAGGTGTGTGCCACCATGCCTGGCTAATTTTGCACTTTTTTTTTTGTTTGCTTTTTGTTTTTTGAGATGGAGTCTCGCTCTTTTGCCCAGGCTGGAGTACAGTGGTGCAATCTCAGCTCACTGCAACCTCCGCCTCCTGGGTGATACACCTGCCTCGGTCTCCCAAAGTGCTGGGATTACAGGTTTGGGCCACTGTGCCAAGCCTAATTTTTGTATTTTTGGTAGAGACAGGATTTCACCGTGTTGGCTAGGCTGGTCTGGAACTCCTGGCTTCAAGTGATCCACCTGACTTGGCCTCCCTCCCAAATCGTGAGAACTACAGGTGTGAGCTCCTGCGTCCGACCTGATTTTTAAATTATTTGTCGAGACAGGATCTGATTATGTTGCCCAGGCTGGTATTGAACTCCTAGGCTCAAGTGATCCTCCCAACATGGACTCTCGAAGTGTTGGCTTTATAGATGTGAGCCACTGGATCTGGCCAAGATGAATATTTATAGTTTCTTTTTCAACAACAAAAAACATCTAAATGCCTGTCTGGATAATGAGCTAATTGCTTTCACCGTTTGGCCGTTTCAATTGGTGGGGCAATTTTCGCCTTTCATATTGCTCTGTATACCTCTGAGTCATCATGTAGATGCTGTAGTCAAAGCAAAGCACCTAAATAGTTGTACAGAACCTACAAGGAAGTGCTTAAGGCCCATGTAAATATTACCTATGCTTTTCAATTTCTCCTTTACATTTTTCTTCTTCTTACTTTAGCCTCTTATTTGTATTTTCTTTTTTTTTTTTCATAGGTTGCCGTTGTTCTGATGGATACCCAGGGGGCATTTGACAGCCAGTCAACTGTGAAAGACTGTGCTACCATCTTTGCTCTAAGCACTATGACTAGTTCTGTTCAGGTAAAAACCACTTGACTTGGAAAAAAGTTTGCAAAGGAAATAAGATAAAGGGAGGAAATACAGTTTTTGTTATTCTGTTAACAGAATTTCCATGATGTTATGTAAATATTATTTTTAAACTGTAGATTTAGTTAAGCTCTTAAAAGCTTGAGAAGGAGCCAAAGAATTTTTTCTCTTTGGTTATAATTATATATAATGTGTTCTAAGGAAGGTTCCAAAAAATGGAAATTTATATCCATTACATCATATAGAAAATATAAATTTGATAAGAATGTAGGAAAACTATACTTTAAACTGTAAAGGAAGAATTTTTTGATTTCAACCTTTTGTGCATAATTTTCCAAAAGACAGATCATATTGCTGTTTCAACAGGCCTCATGTTCTTATATGCAAGTCTTTAATTATTCAAAGCTTCTGTCATCCCTTTAGGGTTATTTAGGATTTGTTTGAAGTAAACCAGAGAAGTATCAATCTGGATTTTTGTTTTCTAGATTTATAATTTATCCCAGAACATTCAGGAAGATGATCTTCAACAGCTACAGGTATATATTCTCATAACAATTTTATCATCATATTATTTAAAAGTTTTAAGAGTAAGAAAAATTTTACAGCTGAGTAGTTTTTAGTAAAAGATTGAAATGTGGAGGAAGGTGTTTGGTTCATGGTAATTCTACACTGTATATTCATTGCTGGGGTGGAGCAGGGGTAGTCCGGGAAGGCCTTACTGACTTGAGCAGAGAACGAAAGAAAGTGGGGAAATGAGTCCTTCAGATACATTTGGGTGGAAAACTGTTACAAGAGAGGAGCAGCTGCTGGAAGACAGACCCTGAAGGGAGTGCGCTTGACAAGATCAAGGAGTGGCAAGGAGGCTCCTGGGTAGGACTGGAGAGTGACAGGAAGAGGCTAAGTGATGAAGTTAGAGAGGCAGCGAGGTCCCGGTCATGCTGGGTTTTTTCCTCTGGGGCAGGTGGGAGCCATGGGAGAGTCTTCAGCAATGACGTTATCTGACATGTTGTAAAGGGATCATTCTGGCTGCCATGTTCAGAATAGATTTTTAGAGGTGGGTACATTCAGTGAGACTGATCATGGAGCTATTGCAATAATTCATATGAGGTTAAATAAATTAGTATTTTTAAATGCATGCCTGGAAAATAGTATGTGCTTAATAATTGCTAGCCATTGTTTTTATTACTATTGCTGTTATTATCCAGTGACTTTTCTTCTTCATAGCAGCAGTTCTTTTCCATTGTTTCGTCTTTGTTTTTTTTTTTTTTTTTTTTTTGAGTTGGAGGCTCACTCTGTGACCCACTGGAGTGCAATGGTGTGATCTTGGCTCAGTGCAACTTCTGCTTCCTGGGTTCAAGCGATTCTCCTGCCTCAGCCTCCTCAGTAGCTGGGATTACAGGCATGTGCCACTGCACCCAGCTAATTTTTGTATTTTTAGTAGAGACGGGGTTTCACCATCTTGGCCAGGCTGGTCTCGAATTCCTGACCTCCTGATCCACCCATCTTGGACTCCCAAAGTGCTGGGATTACAGGCGTGAGCCACTGTGCCCAGCAATTTTCTTCTCTTTTTTATAGCAGCAGTTCTTATCTGTTTTTCCCATAAAATGCTCTTTTATGGGTATTCCAGGGTTGGATACAATTCCTGGTATATTGCTCTAATGCTGCTTCTCCCATTGACATTTAAGAAAACATCAGAATGTGAGTAAGGGCATCATTATTATAGGGATTACCTTGAATTAGTTCTATTTTATGTTTCTTTAAAAAAAAAAAACAAGGAAAATTCCTCCTAAACCTCGGTCCTTAATGTTGCTATGGCAATTGCTTGTGCTTTATAATTAGACGTTCTATTCCAGTTCCATGGCTCAGTGGTTGAGAGCTCTTGCTCTGTAAAACTTCCATCACAACTTGCGTTGGTGACCATTTCACCTGAAATTTATTCCTTCCTTTCACACATTTTTCGAATGCTTACCTTGTGTGAGGTAGAGGACCAAGTGCCATAGATACATGTAAGGTCACATTCACAGGTACCAGGTGCTAGGACTTTAACATATTTTTTCTTCAGGACACGGTTCATACCATAAGAGATAGTAAGTAGATTATGATACACTTATGTAATTCACCTTTTTTTTTTTTTTTTTTTTTTGAGACAGTCTCTGTCACCCAGGCTGGAGTGCAGAAGTATGGTCTCAACTCACGGCAACCTCTGCCTCCCCAAGTTCCAGCAATTCTCATGCCTTAGCCTCCCAAGTATCTAGGACTACAGGCATGCACCACCATGCCTGCCTAATTTTCGTATTTTTAGTAGAAACAGGGTTTCACCAGTTGGTCAGGCTGATTTCTAATTCCTGACCTTAAGTGATCCAGCCGCCTCAGCCTCCCAAAGTGCTAGGATTATAGGTGTGAGCCACTGAGCCTGACCTAATTCACCATTGATTCTATTCTCAAGAGCTCCATCATACTCTGGTTCCTCAACCCCCTGATATGTTTAAGCATCTTTTTCCTATAATAGTTTCAATGTCAGTTTTTCCTGATTATTTTTATTGTATGCAGTTTTACATCTCCTGCAATGATTTTGTTACCTTGTGGTTTTTTTTTTTTTTGAGATGGAGTTTTGCTTTTTTTTTTTTCTCCCTGAGACAGAGTCTTGCTCTGTCACCCAGGCTGCAGTGGAATGGCACGATCTTGGCTCACTGCAATCTCTAGCTTCCGGGTTCAAGCAGTTCTCCTGCCTCAGCCTCCTGAGTAGCTGGGATTATAAGCACCTGCCATCATGCCCGGCTGGTTTTTATATTTTCAGTAGAGATGAGGTTTTACCAAGGCCAGGCTGGTTTCAAATTTCTGATCGCGTGGTCCACCCGCCTCAGCCTCCCAAAGTGCTGGGATTACAAGCATGAGCCACCACGTCCAGCTGGAGTTTCGCTCTTTTTACCCAGGCTGGAGTGCAATGGCACAATCTTGTCTCACTGCAAGCTTTGCCTCCTGAGTTTAAGTGATTCTTCTGCCTCAGCCTCCTGAGTAGCTGGGACTCTAAGGCGAGTGCCACCATGCCTGGCTTCTTCAGGCATTTATATTGTTTTCCAAATTAATACATTAAATCCAAACCTTGGTTTATTCTTCACTTCAGTACATTTCACATGGTTTGTTTCCTTTCCATTATCAATTATGACTTTTCATTTCATAGTAGCGTAAGCACTTTTCTTTAGTAAAGCAAATGTTCATACTTCCTGTAGAATTCAACTGGCTTAATTCTTGTAACTTTTTTTTTTTTTGGTTTCACTTTGTCAGCCAGGCTGGAGTGCAGTGATGAGATCTTGGCTCACTGCAACCTCTGCCTCCTTGGTTCAAGCGATTCTTCTGCCTCAGCCTCCCGAGTAGCTGGGACTATAGCTGTTCGCCACTGTTCCCAGCTGATTTTAGTATTTTAAGTAAAGATGGAGTTTCACCACATTGACCAGACTGGTCTTGAACTCCTGACCTCAGGGGATTCCACCTGCCTTGCTTTCCCAAAGTGCTGGGATTGCAGGCATCTTACAACTTTTGAAATAGGTTCTTTTTTTTTGCTAATGTCTCTCCCTATTTTCCTGTTAGGCAATATTATTTCTTTTCTTTTATCTAAATTCAAAATTTGCATTTTTATTTTTACTTTTATTTACTTATCTATTTTTTTGAGACAGGGTCTCACCCTGTCGCCTGGGCTGGAGGGCATTGGTACGATCATGGCTCACTGCAGCCTTGACCTTCCGGGCCCACGTAGAGGTAGATCCTCCTACTTCAACCTCCCAAGTAGCTGAGACCACAGGCATGTACCACCACACCTAGCTTTTTTATTTTATTATAGTAGAGATGAGGTGTCCCCATATTTGCCACTGGACTTAATGGACAGAGGATTGTCTCAAATGACAAGGCTGATGGTAGACTCAGCAACTGCATAATATAAATATTACAAAGGAGAAAATAATATGTTTATGTGCCTGGAAATCCAAAGAATCAACTAGAAAACTATTTAGAGCCTAAAAAATAATTAAGGCATCTATCACAAAATACAGATTAAAAAATCATTAGGTTTTCCTCTCTACTAACAATAACCAGTTTAAAAATGTAATGGAAACAATTGACTATAGCAACAACATATTGAAAGCAGAATAAACTTAAAAAGATATATATGGAGCACTTCAGAATTGTATGAGGCATGTAAAAGATTTAACCACATGTAGAAATATGCCTTGTTTCTTCTATATGGAGATGATAATAGCCAACATATATTTATTACTTACTTTGTACTAGACACTGCTGTGTATTACAAACATTATCTCCTTTGAGACTATTATAAGGTTGTCAGTTCTTCCCCACTAAACAAAATCATAAAGGCATTATTTTGGGAACTTGACAGAATTGTTGTGAAATTAATTTGGAAAGTTAAATTGTAAAACAGCCAAGGAAATTACAGAGGGTAGGAGAAACATGAGATAATTGACTTAGTACATATTATAAATCTGTAATTACAAGGATATGGCATTGGTTCAGGAAAAAAAATCGATCGGTGTTCTATACTTGTGATATACTACGTTTTCATATATTTCATTCTACTTAAGAATATATACACATATACCATAAAGGATAGATCAGTCAATAAATGGTGTTAGGATAGTTGGCTATGTATTTAGATAAGTTAGAAATTATATTCCTCATTGGGATGCTGAGGCAGGCTGATTACCTGAGTTTGGGAGTTTGAGACCAGCCTGGCCAACCTGTTGAAACCCTATCTCTACTAAAAGTACAAAAAAAAAAAAAAAAAAAAAAAATTAGCTGGGTGTGGTGGCACATGCCTGTAATCCCAGCTACTTGGGAGGCTAAGCCTCAGAATCACTTCAACCCAGGAGGCAAAGGTTGAAGTGAGCCAAGATCACACCACTGCACTCCAGCCTGGGCAACAGAGTAAGACTCTGTCTCAAAAAAAAAAAAAAAAAAAAATCGTATTTCTCCTTTTACTATATACAAATATTCCAGATAGATCAGATAGATTAAATATGTTGATGTAAAAAAAAAAAAAAAAAAGAAATCACAGCTGAGTGTGTGGTGGCTCATGCCTGTAATCCCAGCACTTTGGGAAGCTGAGGAGGGTGAGTCACAAGGTCAGAGTTCGAGACCAGCCTGGCAAACATGGTGAAACCCCTTCTCTACTAAATATACAAAAATTAGCTGGGTGTGGATGTTCAGGCAGAACCTGAATATTAATATTTCTGCAATGAAATATTAATAAATTTCATTTATTAATATTTCATTTATTAATATTCCATTTCATGACCAATGAAATGGGGGTAAATAAGCCTATAAAAAGCTTCGTGTCAGTTCAAGGCAGGTTTTTCTTCCAAATACGTTTCCCACCTAACCTGTGTTTTTAGTAATTTTTTTTTTTTTGAGACAGAGTCTTTCTCTGTCGTCCAGGCTGGAGTGCAGTGGCTCGATCTTGGCTCACTGCATCCTCTGCCTCCCGAGTTCAAGTGATTATGCTCCCCTGGCCGCATGAGTAGCTGGGACTGCAGGCGTATGCCACCACACTCGGCTAATTTTTTTATACTTTTAGTAAAGACAGGGTTTCACCATGTTGGTCAGACTGGTCTCGAACTCCTGACCTGAAATTATCTGCCTGCCTCGGCCTCCCAAAGTGCTGGGATTACAGTTGTGAGCCACTGTGTCTGGCTTTTTCTTTTTCTTTCTTTTTTGTTTTTTGAGACAGAGTTTCACTCTGCTGCCCAGGCTGGAGTGCAGTGGTGCGATCTCAGCTCACTGAAACCTCCACCTCTTGGGCTTAAGTGATTCTCCTGCCTTAGCCTCCTGAGAAGCTGGGATTATAGGTGCTCACCACCATGCCCAATTTTTGTATTTTCAGTGAGACAGGGTTTTGCTCTGTTGGCCAAGCTGGTCTCAAACTCTTGACATCAAGTGATCTGCCTGCCTTTGCCTCCCAAAATGCTGGGATTACAGGCATGAATCTTAGCACCCAGCCCTGCTAAGAGGCTTTTCTCAAAAGTCTAGCTGGTAGTCCTTGAGTACTTGTTTAAGAGCCACTAACAATCAAGCTGGGAGCTTCGATAAGAGGATAGGCCTTGTGTACTGGTTTGGATCACATTGAGGTAGGTGGTTGGGCAAGGTTATCTAGCGATTTTGTTGCCAGCTCCCAGATATCTGTTTTTTACAGATCTTTCTTCTTGGGTTGTCAGTTTCCCTAGAGAAAATTTCTTTAAACTCCTGCCTTGGTGGGTAGAAGCTTGCTGTGGCACCCAGTAGGGTGAGAAGGCTAAGGAGTCGCACCACTCAGTATGACTTAATAGCTGTTTCCAGGAAGGTAGGAGACTTACTCCTAACCTCAGCTGAGTTTGGTGTCTAAGTCTAGATTTTTTTTTGGATTTATCTTTATATACTACACTTCCCATCTTATGTGGAGACAGGAAAAATATGAGAGTGAGAGAGGGGAACCTGGGAGTGTAGGTGCTTTCTCCTAAGACTCACATAGTTCCTAGTTGTCAGCACACTTCTACACCTCCTCTTGTAAGGTAATTGCATGCTTAGAATTTCTGAGCATTTCAGGCATTCTACTGAGAGAATCTGCTTATTCCTTGTTTGGCTCCTGCCTCTTCTAGATTTCTTAGCAGAACAGAGAAAGGCAAAACTTGAGACAGTTCTCATTTGTCTCGTTTGTCTATTTTTCCTCCAGAATGTTTTTGACAGCTCTTTTCTGCAGGCTTCTTTATCCTGTTTATTTATTTATTTACTTTTAAACTTTGTTTTGTTATGCTTTTAGTGAGGCTTCCTGAAGAAATAGAGGTAAATATACAGGTAAACCTTAACCTTAAAGAATTAAGTTATTTTAGGCCAGGCACGGTGGCTCATGCCTGTAATCCCAGCACTTTGGAAAGCCAAGGTGGGTAGATCACCTGAGGTCAGGAGTTCGAGACCAGCCTGACCAATATGGTGAAACCCCGTCTCTACTAAAAATACAAAAATTAGCCGGGCATGGTAGTGTGCGCCTGTCGTCCCAGCTCATTGGGAGGCTGAGACAGGAGAATTGCTTGTACCTGTGAGGCAGAGGTTGCCGTGAGTCAAGATCATGCCACTGCACTCCAGCCTGGGTGACAGAGAGAAACTCTGTCTGAAAAAAACGCCAAAAAATCCCCAAAAAACAGAATTCAGTCATTTGAATGGCATAAATATATATATATTTCGAGATGGAGTCTCACTCTGTCGCCCAGGCTGGAGTGTAATAGCGCGATCTCGGCTCACTGCAACCTGTGCCTCCTGGGTTCAAGCGATTCTCCTGCTTTAGCCTCCCAAGTAGCTGGAATTACAGGCGCGTGCCACCATGCCTGGCTAATTTTTTGTAGTTTTAGTAGAGATGGGGTTTTGCCATGTTGGTCACGCTGGTCTTGAACTCCAGACCTTGTGATCTGCCTGCCCCGGCCTCCTGAAGTGCTGGGGTTACGGGCGTGAGCCACTTTGCCCGGCCTTGAATGGCATAAATACTATGGGCCTAATACTTTTCTTGTTGCTGGAAATTCAGTAGTGCACAAAACAGGCAAATATTCCTGTCCTCATGGAGTTTAAATGCTGGTAGTAATGACAGATGCAAATCAAGACAAGAAGAGGTATAGTGTATTATATAATGATAAATATATAAATGTTTAGAAAAAGTTTTTTTTTGAGACATGAAGTGGGAAATATTTGCAAAGTTGTAGTCTTTTTATGTAGATGGCCGTGGATGTCTTCACTGAGAAGGAGCCATTTGAATAAAGACCTTAAGAAGTGTGTGAGCTGATCATGAGGATATTTGGGAGAACTTAGAGTTAGTGGGAGGAGCCAGTACAAAGGTCCTAAGGCGGTAGTATGCCCACATGTTTGAAGAAAAGGAAGAAGGGCCAGTGTGACTGCATCACACTGTAAGGGCTGGCTTTTATACTGAATGAGGTTGCAGGGTTTTGAGCAGAGCCATGGTATAATCTAACTAACCATATAATAACAGAGTCACTGTGGCTGCTATATTGAGAATAGCCTGTAGGGAGGCACTGGCTGTGGCAGGGAGACCAGCTGGGAGGCAATTGCAGTATTCCAAGGCACATGGGAATAGTGAGGGGCTGGATTCTGGTTTTGCTGATGAATTGACGTGGGATGTGAGCAAGAAGTAACCAAGTTGATTTTAAGGTTCATGACTCCTGTGGGCATTTGAAACTATAGAACTCTGGTCTCAATATAAATGGTATCCAGTCTGTTAATGAATACTTTGTTAAAGAAAAGCCATAGAACTATTTTAAGTAATTTTGCTTTACAAACCATAATCCTTCTTTTTTAAAGCTCTTCACAGAATATGGTCGTCTGGCAATGGATGAAATTTTCCAAAAGCCTTTCCAGGTTAGAATATTTATTATAAATATAATTCATATCTTTGTTTTTGTTCACGATTGGCAAACTACAGCTCGTAGGCCAAATCTGGCCTGCCACCTGTTTTTATATGACTTGTGAGCTAAGAATGATTTTTACATTTTTAAATGGTTAAAAAAAAGAGAAATACAATTTTATGATGTGTAAATTATCTGAAATTCAAATGACAGTGTCTATGGGTAAAATTATAGTGGAACATAGCCATTCTCATTTGTTTTTTTACTGTCTGTGACAGCTTTCCTGATACAATGGCAGAGTTGAGTAATTGCTTACAAAATAAACTCTCTGGGCTGGGCGTGGTGGCTCACGGCTGTAATCCCAGCACTTTGGGGAGGCCCAGGTGGAAGAATTGCTAGAGCCCAGGAGTTTGAGACCAGCCTGGTCAACATAGCAAGACGTCTCTTAAAAAAAAAATGAGAGTAGGTGTGGTGGTTCGTGCCTGTAATCCCAGCACTTTGGGAGGCCAAGACAGCCAGATCACCTGAGGTCAATAGTTCGAGACCAGCCTGGCCAACATGGTGAAACCCTGTCTATACTAAAAATACAAAAATTAGTTGGGTATGGTGGTGGCCCCTGTAATCTCAACTGCTGGGAAGGCTAAAGCAGGAGAGTCGCTGGATCCTGGGAGATGAAGATTACAGTGAGCTGAGACCATGCCACTGCACTCCAGCCTAGGCCTGACAGAGTGAGACTTTGTCTCAAAAAAAAAAAAAAGAAGTGGTTGTGTCCTCCTGTAGTCCCAGCTACTGGGTGGGGCTGAGGTGGGAGGATCACTTAAGTCTAGGAGGTCAAGGTTGCAGTGAGCCATGATTGCACCACTGCACTCCAGCCTGAGCAACAAAGCAAGACTGTCACACACACACACACACACACACACACACACACACACACACGGCCTGGGCAACAAAGCAAGACCGTCACACACACACATAAACACACACACACACACACACACACACACACAGCCTGGGCAACAAAGCAAGACCGTCACACACACACACAGCCTGGGCAACAAAGCAAGACCGTCACACACACACACAGCCTGGGCAACAAAGCAAGACCGTCACACACACACACAGCCTGGGCAACAAAGCAAGACCGTCACACACACACACAGCCTGGGCAACAAAGCAAGACCATCTCTCTCACACACATACACACATACACAGCAGCCTGGGCAACAAAGCAAGACCGTCTTTCTCTCTCTCTCTCTCTCTCTCTCTCTCTCTCTCTCTCTCTCTCTCTCACACACACACACACACACACACACACACACACACACACAGCCTGGGCAACAAAGCAAGACCGTCTCTCTCTCTCTCTCTGTCACACACACACACACACACACACACACACACACACACACGTACACAGCCTGGGCGACAACGCAAGACCATCTCAACACACATAAACATGTGCGTGCATGCACATACTCTCTCTCTCTCTCTCTCTCTTTATTTCTTTCTCTCTTTCTCTCTCTCCCCACCTCTCCCTTTCCCCAAAAGGTCTTTGCTGACCTCAACTTTAGCTCAGTGTTTCTTGAGAATGAGGAAGCACAGCAGCCTCAATCAGTGGGATTAGAGATGCTTTCAGTGTGTGAGCCTTATTTCTTTTCCTTTCTAATTTTTTTTTTTGAGATGGAGTTTCACTCTAAGATTTTGCTCAGGCTGGAGTGGAGTGGCACCATCTTGGCTCACTGCAACCTCTGCCTCCTGGTTTCAAGCAACTGTCCTGTGTCAGCCTCCTGAGTAGCTGCAATTATAGGCACCTGCCACCATGCCCGGCTAATTTTTTTGTATTTTTAGTGGAGATGGGATTTAATTATGTTGACGAGGCTGGTCTCAAACTCCTGACTTCAGGTGATCCGCCTGCCTAGGCCTGCCAAAGTGAAGGGATTATAGGCATAAGCCACCATGCCTGGCCTTCTTTTCTAATACTAAAAGCAGATCAGATTTTTTTTTTTTTTGAGATGGAGTCTCTGTTGCCCAGGCTGGCGTGATCTTGACTGCAACCTCCGCCTCCCAGGTTCAAGCGATTCTCCTGCCTCAGCCTCCTGAGTAGTTGGGATTGCCACCATGAAGCTAATTTTTTTATTTTTAGTAGAAATGGGTTTTCACCATGTTGGCCAGGCTGGTCTCGAACTCCTGACCTCAAGTGATTCACATGCCATGGCCTCCCAAAGTTCTGGGATTACAGGCGTGAGCCACTGTGCCTTACTGCAGATCCGATTTTATGATTAGCTGGTGCCATATGGTTTTCTCTTTTGTCCTTTACTATATTCCCCATAGATGTCTTTAAGGCAGAGCCCCAAATTTACCATTCTCATTAATGTCTTCCTTCTGTTCCTACTAACCTGTGGGAACAAAAACAGCAGATAGGCTTTATTGACCTCATATTTGTCTTAAACATGTCCTTCCAGTGTTTGTAAAACTTCTAAGACATTATAGAATAGATAAATCTGGCTGGATGTGGTGGCTCACACCTGTAGTCTCAGCACTTTGGGAGGCCAAAGCCAGAGGATTGCTTGAGGCCAGGAGTTCAAGACCAGCCTGAGCAACAGAGCAAGACCTCGTCTCTACAAAAAAAATAAAAAAATAAGCAAAATGTAGTGGCATGTGCCTATAGTCCTGACTACTTGGGAGGCTGACGTGGAAGGATTGCTTGAGCCCAGGAATTCTAGGCTACAATAAGCTATGATCGTGCCACTGCTAGCCTTAGTGACAGAGCAAGACCCATTCTCTAAATCAATCAATCTATCCTTTAGTACATATCTTTACCCCCTTTGTAGAAGCTGGCATTATGCAAAGATGTATTGCAGTTGTTCTCTTGAAAATTTGTTTGTGCATTGTTAAAATATGTTTTCCTCTTTTCTTAAATAGACACTGATGTTTTTGGTTAGAGATTGGAGTTTCCCTTATGAATACAGCTATGGACTACAAGGAGGAATGGCATTTTTGAATAAGCGTTTACAGGTCAGTGGGACTGTAATCTTCTGAGGAATTATCTAAAAGTAGTGATGGTTTTCTCATTTGCCTTTGGCAACTGTATTTAAAGCAGTTATTGAAAATGATATTGAATACATTAACTGTATATGAATCTTAACAGAAGCTAATATTATTTATTCCTGATAAGATTAATGATCCTGTATATACAATACACAGGGACTGTAGAAGAAAATTCTGGGCAGATGCCCAAGCTTTGATTATAATTTCCATTTTACATTTTAAAGCAAGTTCTATATGTGCCTTTAGAAGTCACACTCAGAATTTTAGTTATGTGATTCTGATTCAGAAGTTTTACTTATTTTGGCATAGATAGAAACAGTAAACAGGCCTAACCTGTTCTCCCAAACTAAAACACGGGAGTCTTTTGTCTGTCTCTGCTAATTGGTTGGATGCTCCTTCATCCCCACAAACCATCCCTTGTTCTTCCTAAGTATTGTGCAATACTCCTTTTAAAGAAACTCTTCTGCACCTGTTTGTTAGCTATAGGAGTCAAGCCATAGGTAACCAGATTTATGTGTTTATTGCTTCTTAAGGTTCCGAGTTTTCTCATTTGGCGACTGTTATCCCTCAGAGTTGAGAAGTCTTCTTTCCTTTGTCCTTATACTAGTTGTCGCTAGTGAAGAAAACCAAATGATTTTTGTTTGGTAAATTGTTGGTCTTCATTGGTAGGTGAAGGAACATCAACATGAAGAAATTCAGAATGTTCGAAATCACATTCACTCATGTTTCTCTGATGTCACCTGCTTTCTCTTACCACATCCAGGACTCCAAGTGGCCACAAGCCCTGACTTTGATGGGAAATTAAAAGGTGTGTTATAGATGTTGTTGTTTTAAACATGTTATTTGATCTTTGGAATTAAAAATCACGTACAAATCAAGTGAATGCTTAAGAAAAATGGTGTCATCTCTTAGTGTAGTATTTAAAGTCTAGTTCAGATTTTACTCTTGACTTACTGCGACCATCAGAATTAGTTTACCTTGACTTCTCCATCTGAAATGGTGGTGTTAATATCCATTAGTAGTCTTTCTAAGAGACTCATTATGGTTCTTGGTTTACAAGAGATACAAATGCTAAATAAAGGAAGAACAGACATTAGTCAGCTAATGTTAAGTAAAATTAACTTCTCAAGGGAAGGCAGCATGATGCATGGCAAAGCTATTATTTTCATCTTATTTGCGATTATAGCAAAACCTGACGCTGGGTCATGTGCTAATGTCAGGAAGTGCTAACTAAATGGTAGGTGAGAGGAATCGTAGTTGGGACTCTTGGGCTCCATTATCTTATTTTTGTTCCTTTTTCATTAAGGCCTTGAGTCATTAAATGGCTGGCCCTTAATTTACACATATGTTAAACTGAGCGCTTGTTAATAAGCTTATCTGAATCTCTCAGATTTCTGGTAATGTTTGCAACACTATGCTAGGTACTTTGATACTTATGCTCCCAGTAATTCCATGAAGTTGATGTCATTTCCTTATAGGTGAGGAAAATGGCAAAAACAGTTAAGGAAAAGGAGGAAAGTTAAGTAACTTCTCAAAGTGCTCAGCTAGTAAATGAGTAAGTGGCGAGGCATAGACTTACATCCAAGTTCTTGTTGCTCCAAACCCATACTGGGCTAAAGTAATGGTTCTTCTGTTATATGGAATAAATCATTCAGAGGATATATACTGTTTAGTTACTACAGGAACTTGCCTTTTGAAGTGAAAGGTTTTCATAGCCTCATATTGAATATAAAATGCACCATTTTTAACTTATTTGATCCAGTTGATCCAAGAAAATGAATGTTCAACTCAAGATTTTTATTCCAGCTGGTCTTAATATTGCCAAGAACCTGGTTAATGATACTTAACTTTTAGCTTTTATTTGTCACTTCTCTGACGTTTTTACATGGTTGGCAGCTCTCCTGAGGAGGAGACTTCCCTGGCCTGTTTCATGGCAATTGAATCTAAGACAATTGCTTTGGGAGATAATTCTGCTTGGCAAGCACTGGACCTGAAAAGCAGTTTCAAGGGAGTTTTCAGAGCTGAGTAGGGAGAGAAAGTTGTGTAGGTCTTAAGGTAATATATCGTTAGGCTCCATTATTAGTTGTACCTTTACCAACCTGAACTCAGATTTGTTCATCACTGATAGGGAATGTGTCCAGTGGAGTTCTTAAATGGAGGTGTTAGGAGAGGGTGAATTAGAGTGCCTCCTAGTGATTATCCAGTGTAAACACATACAAATGGCATTCTTCCATAGTTTCAATTTTAACGTTCCAATGCATTGCTTTGAAGTTAATTTTAATTTTAACTTTTTTAATTTTAATTTTTATCAGGTTTTCAGGAAGTAGGCAGAGTTTTTTTAAAGTTCAGTAACCTGGCTTTTGAAATGTCATGTCGCTTTTGGTTGTATTAATTTCCTGTGGCTACCTTTAACAAATTAACACAAACTAGGTGGCTTAAGACAACAGAAATTTATTCTCTCACAAGTCAGGGGGCCAGAAATCCAAAATTATGGTTGGTTCTACCAGGAGACTGAAACGAGAACCTGTCCCATACTCTCTCCTAGCTCTGGAAGTTGCCAGCAGCCCTTGGCATTCCTTGACCTACCTTGAGTTGCCTCTAAACTCTTTGTTATCACATGACCGCCTTCAATGTGTGTTCTCTCCATGTCAGCACACCAGTCTTTGGATTTAGGGCCCACCTCAATCCAGTATGACCTCCTCTTAGCTAACTACATTTGCAAGACTGTTTCCAAATCAGATTTTCTGAAGTTCCAGGTGGACATGCATTTTGTTGGAGGGGGGATGCTGTTCAACTCACTGTACATATATATAGATTATGAATGGTTTAATCACTAAATATTAAGTGTGCAAGTTTCATTTATATATTACATTTATAAGATAGGGAACAAATTCTGTATGAACAATCTTTAATCTCATATTTAGGTACTATTTGGTTTCCTCATCAAGATAAAACTATAAAATGCACTTGTAAGGCCTAAATTTTCCTTTCTTACATGAAAAAGTAAGTCCAAAAAGAAGAAATACAAATGGTCATTATATATTAATGAAAATATGTGCGGCATCATAATAATCAAGAAAGCACAAAAGCATTGGTAATAAATTATAGTCTTTATGGATTGTAATGTGGCAGTATCAGAATTCAGAATGTTCACATCCTTTGATCCACTATCCCACTTCTGGGAGTTTATCCAAAAAACTGTTTAAATAAGTGTATAAAAATAATTAGACTGAGTGGGCACAGTGGCTCATGCCTGTAATCCCAGCATTTTGGGAGGCTGAGGTGGCCAAATCACCTGAGGTTAGCAGTTTGAGACCAGCCTGGCCAATATGGTGAAGTCCCATCTCTACTAAAAATACAAAAATTAGGCCGGGCGCGGTGGCTCAGGCCTGTAATCCCAGCACTTTGGGAGGCCGAGGTGGTTGGATCACGAGGTCAAGAGATTGAGACCATCCTGGTCAACATGGTGAAACCCCGTCTCTACTAAAAATACAAAAAATTAGCTGGGCATGGTGGCGCGTGCCTGTAATCCCAGCTACTCAGGAGGGTGAGGCAGGAGAATTGCCTGAACCCAAGAGGCGGAGGTTGCGGTGAGCCGAGATTGCGCCATTGCACTCCAGCCTGGGTAACAAGAGTGAAACTCTGTCTCAAAAAAAAAAAAAAAAAGTACTAGCTGGACATGGTGGTGTACCCCGGTAATCCTAGTTACTTGGAAGGCTGAGGTAGGATTGCTTGAGCCCAAGAGGTCAAGGCTGCAGTGAGCTGTGATTGCATCACTGCACTTTAACCTGGGTGACAGAGTGAGACCCTGTCTTAAAAAAAAAAAAAAAAAAAAAAAAAGTTAAGGTACATCTGCCCAAAGGAATGAAATGCAGTCATTAAAAGGTTAAGGGCAGGGCGTGGTGGCTAATGCCTGTAATCCCAGCACCACGTTGGGAGGCCGAGGCGGGCAGATCACGAGGTCAGAAGATTGAGACCATCCTGGCCAACACGGTGAAACCCTGTCTCTACTAAAATACAAAAAATTAGCTGAGCATGGTGGTGTGTGCCTGTAGTCCCAGCTACTTGGGAGGCTGAGGCAGGGGAATTGCTTGAAACTGGGAGGCAGATGTTGCAGTGAGCCAAGATTGTGTCACTGCATTCCAGCCTGCGTGACAGATCAAGACTCCATCTCAAATAAAAAAAAGGGTAAGGTAGATAGATGAATCTATATGTCTTTATGTAGAAGGATGTCTGTGATATATTATTAAACATACAAAGGTTGTAGAGTAGCATATGTGGTATGCTTCTATTTATTTAAAAAAAAAGTACTTTTAAATTTTTATTTACTTATTTATTTTAGAGATAGGGTCTTGCTCTGTTGCCCAGGCTGGAGTACAGTGGCATGTTCATACCTCACTGTAGCCTCTAACTCCCAGTCTCAAGTGATCCTCCCACCTTAGCCTCCCCAGTAGCTGGGACTACAGGCATGCACCACTATGCCTGGCTAATTTTTTTATTGTTTTGTAGAGATAGGGTCTCCCTATGTTACCCAGGCCGGTCTTGATCTACTGACCTCAAGTGATCCTCTCACCTCAGCTTCTCAAAGTGTTGGGAATACTGGCACAAGCCACCATACCTGGCCAGTACTTTTCTAAATGGAAAAATTTGAAAAACAAAAATTTGCTTTTTTGCCTCACTTTAAAAATATGTTAAAAGCCTGTCCTCTGTGTTTATTTAAGGAACTACAGTTATGAGGATTGTTCATGAAGAATTCTTACTAGCTATGCAAAAGTTTATGTACATTTTAGATTTGGAGATGGATGTTTTATAATTTTAGGGAAACTTCTGAACCAAGATATTGAAGGGTTTTGAGTGAAGGGTAAATTGAATGCTAAATTGTAAGTAGCAGGTGATTTGTATTTGGCAAGTGCTAGCTTGAGAACCACACACACACTTTACTGTAGGAGACCTGTTAGAGCTGATACAGTTTTCAGAATTAAAAAAAAAGGTAGACATTATATTTTCTCAGGTATATACCTGTATAGTTACATGATTGAGATTTTGCAGTCCTGTTCCATGTGACTTGGAAAAGACATTAGCCTGAGGTTGTTAGGGCTAATCCATAAAAGGAACTTATGTAATTTTTGTAGAACATTTAAATTTCATAAGAACTACATTCTGAAACTATTTCTGCAAATGTTCCCCCAGATACTTTAGGAATTATTTCAGTGGTTTTATGATTGACCACTTATTTAGAGGTAGATGCCTGCCAAACATGATCTTAGTTTTGATGTAATTGATGCTGAGCTGCTGCTTCTTGCAGTAATTATCTAGAATAGCTGCTGGTTTTTTGTTTGTTTTGTTTTGTTTTTGTTTTTTTGATACAAAGTCTTATCTTCCCTCTGTTGCCCCAGCTGGTGTGCAGTGGCGTGATCTCAGTTCACTGCAACCTCTGCCTCTCGGGATCAAGCAATTCTCGTACCTCATCCTCCCAAGTAGCTGGAATTACAAAAGTGCACTACCATGCCTGGCTAATTTTTTATTTTTGGTGGAAATGGGGTTTTACCATGTTGACCAGGCTGGTCTTGAACTCCTGGCCTCAAGCAATCTGCCCACCTTAGCCTCCCAAGGTGCTGGTATTACAAGTGTGAGCCACCATGCTAGGCCTAGAATAGCTGCTTTTTGAGAATTTTTCATCAGACACAGGATGACTGTGTTGTCAGCATAAAGAAAATTGTCATCTTCCTATTTGTTGCCACAGGGAGACCTAATACAGTAACTACTGAGTTGGTTAGTTATAAATTACACAGGAGGGTTTGTAGGGCACAGTCTCCTTTGACATCATTAGAGGTTGTTTCTGTTATGAGACAGTTCTTGTCTATTCTGATTTTAAAACTATTATTTTGGTGTAGCCTTCATAGAAACATGAGTAGCATAGGGTCTGTACGGCTTGTTAAAGTGGCAAGTATAGCATCTGGATCCTGCTACTTCTTGTGTGAGGTATTTTTGAAACAATCCATCCTTCAGTGTGGTGGAAATTGAAACCATACAAAAAGGTTTTTTGGATATGTAATACATTCACATGTTTAGAATTTTAAAAAGGATTAAAAAATACTCAGTGAAAAGTCTCTTTTCCATTTTTGTAGGCTTTCAGAGTTTCTTCAGTATATGAAAGCAAATGTGAATGTGTACAGATGGCCTATTATGTACACTTTTATACTTTTTGACTACAAGGTTATAAAGTATTTTTCCTACTTTTTTTCTTGAAATTTTACAGTTTCATTTTTCATATTATAGTCAGGTTGGTGGAGTATTGAAGAGTTCTTAACTTTGTTGTGGGCTCCTACCTGCTTTTTTCATTGATAGTTGGGAACCCAAGAAGATGTTAGAATATGCACGTCAGCTTTTCTGTATTTTAATTCTCCCGTGGCTTCGTAGTTGGACCAGCTAGTAATTCTTTGAGAAAAGAGCTCTGTTTAGCAGCTCTCCTGATCCCTACATGGGAACCTTGTAGAAGCTGCAGAGAATCTGTCACCTTTCTCTAATTAGTGGTCTTTTCATTTTGGAGTGGTCCCAGAGGGTCTCTGAGGAGATAATAGAAAATCAAGATAATGAGGCACAGGTAATTCTTCTTTTAACACTAAAAAAATTAACAAGAGTAAATCAATTGGATGACCAGTGATTTCTTATCGATTTAAAGGAGTAATGTGAGGGCGTTGCAAAGGACTGAGACAGCTTGAGAGGTTGAAAACTGACTTGTTGAAGACCTTGTTAATGAAATTCTTTAAAAAGTGAAATTTCTTAAAAGGCTAGGGAGCAGACCGGATATCACAAAGGATATTCTGCATATAGTATTCTATTTGGAATTAGAGAAAACTTTATACTACTGTGGGGAAGGAGAAAAATGAAGGTACATTGGGACAGAGATCTATCAGCAACTTGGTCATAGCCAGAAAGTGTCAAAACATAGTCTGGAGGTTGGGCACAGTGGCTCATGCCTGTTATCTCAGCACTTTGGGAGGCCAAGGCGGGTGGATCACCAGGTCAAGAGATCGAGACCATCCTGGCCAACATGGTGAAACCACCCCATCTCTACTAAAAATAGAAAAATCAGCCCGGTGTGGTGATGTGTGCCTGTAGTCCCTGATACTTGGGAGGCCGAGGCAGGAGAATCTCATGAACCTGGGAGGTGGAGGTTGCAGTGGGCAAAGATCACACCACTGCACTCCAGCCTGGCAACGGAGCGAGATTCAGTCTCAAAAACAAACAAACAAAAACTCCACAAAACCAAAAAAAGCCCCATAGTCGGGGACCCCTTCTCTCCCACTTTCTTTTCTTTCTTTTTTTTTTTTTGAGACAGAGTTTCACTCTTGTTGCCCAAGCTGGAGTGCAATGGTGCAATCTCAGCTCACTGCAACCCCTACCTCCCGGGTTCATGCGAGTCTCCTGCCTCAGCCTTTTAAGTAACTAGGATTACAGGCACCCGCCACCACACCTGGCTAGTTTTTATATTTTTAGTGAAGACAGGGTTTCACCATGTTGGTCAGGCTGGTCGCAAACTCCTGACCTTAGGCTATCCATCTGCCTTGGCCTCCCAAAGTGCTGGGATTATAGGCCTGAGCCACCGCACCTAGCTTTTCTCCTACTTTCAATAACCAATGTTAAAAGAATTACACTGGGAAGATTGCATTGTGTGTTCACCTTGGCTGAATAAGGCTGTTTGGCTTGTTTTTTCCTTCTCTGTGGTCCTGTGAACAGATATTGCTGGTGAATTCAAAGAGCAGTTACAGGTACTGATACCATATGTATTAAACCCATCTAAGTTAATGGAAAAGGAGATCAATGGCTCAAAGGTCACCTGTCGGGGACTATTGGAGTATTTTAAGGTAAATATGGGTTTTAATTATTAAAATGTTTGATTTTTGGTAAAGCTGATCTAACTTGTAAATCAACTTGAATTTGAATATTTTGAAACTTCAGAGAAGGTTTTCTGGGGGAGACAGTGAGAGGCATTTTCAGAGACCTCAGTGTCCTTCCAGGAGTGGGCCATCGGGTGGCAGTGTCGGTCTAAGAACCAAATGGATGTTCTTTGCACTCTCTTAGAGGAGCAATTAACTGTGACTAAAGGAAGATTGTTCCTCAAGGAAGATGGTGTGGACAGGAGGTGGTTAGGAAGTTGCTGTGAGTAGGAGGAGACGGCACCTAGATGTGACACGACTGCCTCAAGGCGGATGGTCACTCTGCCCACAGGTAGTGGTGAGGTCAGCGTGCATGGGGAGCTGGATGGGAATCCTAGCCTCTGTAGGCTTGTGCTGCTTGAGAACATTTTTAGTTAACTAAAAATGCTAACATGCACTCAAAGGTGTGTGGTGTGTTTTTGCTAATTCCTGGTTGTTGTTCTAAGTCTTAAGGAAAATGCAGTTGTATGGTCACTTTCTAAAAATTAAATATGAGTAAGATATGACTGAGTAACATTTTTATAGCAGTTTTTGTGTTTACATTTTAAGGCATATATTAAAATTTATCAAGGAGAAGATCTGCCTCACCCCAAGTCCATGCTTCAGGTAAACAATGATTTGATGTCCTAAATGCTACTCTTTAATTACTTGAGTTGACCTGTATACAATAAGCAGAGTTCTTTAAGAAGAGAATATACTTTTTCTCCTTTTTCATTATGCTGAGGTCTGTTAATTTTTTTTTTTTTTAGCACATTTTGCAGTAGTGTGGCGACCTTCTAGTTCACTTGTTTGTATTCATGGTGGTACATTTAAAACAAAATTGCCTCTCCTCGCTGGACCTGGTCTTTTCACCAAACACACTTTGGGAAACACAGTTTATTATACCTGGGTGGAACATACCCACTATGGTAGACAAGCAATTTCCTGTCATCTGTTGTTTATTTTTTATTTTTATTTTTATTTATTTATTTTTTTTGAGACGGAGTTTCGCTCTTGTTACCCAGGCTGGAGTGCAATGGCACGATCTCGGCTCACCGCAACCTCCGCCTCCTGGGTTCAAGCAATTCTCCTGCCTCAGCCTCCTGAGTAGCTGGGATTACAGGCACGTGCCACCATGCCCAGCTAATGTTTTGAATTTTTAGTAGAGACGGGGTTTCACCATGTTCACCACGATGGTCTCGATCTCTCGACCTCGTGATCCACCCGCCTCGGCCTCCCAAAGTGCTGGGATTACAGGCTTGAGCCACCGCGCCGGCCTTATTTTTAATATTTTAAATATAATTAATAATTTATTTTTTGAGACAGAGCCTCACTTTTCCCCAGGCTGGAGTGCAGTGGCATGATCTTGGCTCACTGCAACCTTCACCTCCCTGGTTCAAGCAATTCTAGGGCCTCAGCCTCCAGAGTAGCTGGTATTATAGGTTTATAATCCTATAATCCAGGATTATAGCTCCATTATGCCTGGCTAATTTTTGTATTTTTAGTAGAGACAAGTTTAGCCATGTTGCCCAGGCTGGTCTCAAACTCCTGGACTCAAGCAATCTACTGTCTTGGCCTGCCAGAGTGCTGGGATTATAGGTGTGAGCTACCGTGCCTGGCTATAATTTTTTTGATTGAAAAAAAATAGAGGGCCGGGCGCGGTGGCTCAAGCCTGTAATCCCAGCACTTTGGGAGGCCGAGGCGGGTGGATCACGAGGTCGAGAGATCGAGACCATCCTGGTCAACATGGTGAAACCCCGCCTCTACTAAAAAATACAAAAGATTAGCTGGGCATGGTGGCGCTTGCCTGTAATCCCAGCTACTCAGGAAGCTGAGGCAGGAGAATTGCTTGAACCCAGGAGGCGGAGGTTGCGGTGAGCCGAGATCGCGCCATTGCACTCCAGCCTGGGTAACAAGAGCGAAACTCTGTCTCAAAAAAAAAAAAAAAAAAAAAAATAGAGATGTGGTCTTGCTATGTTGCCCAGGCTGGTCTCAAACTTGGCTCAAGCGATCTGCCCACCTCAGACTCCCAAAGTGCTAGGATTACAGGCGTGAGCCACTGTGCCCGACCTGTTGTCTATTTTAGTGGAACATGTCCTGACATATCTATTTACTATTCACTTATCAGGTTTTTAATTTGTAACTACAATGTCATTGGGTTAAAACATACAATTTTTGACTTCATATGCTGAACATAAGGGCATTTATTGCCAAATGTTGATTTTTTTTGTAGCAGGACATTTTTATAAAGGGAGCTAGAGCCTGGGATTGACATTGCAAAGAATTTTTTCCTTTTTTTTTTTTTTTTTTTTGTAATAGAGACAGGATCTAGCTGTGTTGCGCAGGCTGGTATTGAATTCCTCAGCTCAAGTGATCCTCTTGCTTCAGCCTCTCAAATTGCTGAGATTACAGGCATGAGACTCCATACCCAGCTTTTTCTTCTTCTTTTTTTTGACTCACATCTGTTTCTTAAAATTGAAGCAGTGGAGCCAGGTGCAGTGGCTTATGTCCGTAATCCCAACACTGTGGGAGGCTGAGGTGGGCGGATTACTTGAGGTTGGGAGTTCAAGACCAGCTTGGGCAATATAGGGAGACTCTATCTCTACAAAACAAAAACTTAAAAAGTTAGCCAAGTGTGGCACATACTGGCGGGAATGGCTTGCACTCAGGAAGCGAAGGTTGCAGTGGGCTGAGATCACCACTGCACTCCAGCCTGGATGACAGAATGAGACTCTGTCTCAAAAAAATAAATAAAATTTAAAAATAAAATTGAAGCAAAGGAAATAATATTTTCCTTGAATTTTGGAGATTTACTTTTTGCTAAAGATTCTTATGTATAAGAATACATATTTTTATGTATATGAACTTCTATCATATTTTTTTTGGTAGAAAATTTGGCAGAAAAAGTGTATTTTTTTTTTTTTTTGAGACAGAGTCTCACTCTTTTGTTCAGGCTGGAGTGCAGTGACACGATCTTGGCTCACTGTAACCTTCGCCTCCTAGGTTGAGGCAATTTGCATGCCTCAGCCTCCCAAGTAGCTGGGATTACAGGTGTGTGCCACATACCTGGCTAAGTTTTGTATTTTTAGTAGAGACGGGGTTTCACCATGTTGGCCAGGCTGGTCTCAAACTCCTGACCTCAAGTGATCTGCCTGCCTTGGCCTTCCAAAGTGCTGGGATTACAGGTGTGGACCACCGTGCCCGGCCATAAAAGGTGTATTTTATTTCATCAGTTGAACTGTATGGAAATCTAAAATAATAGAAGGTTAATAAAAAAGGAAGAATGGGGAGTAGAGAAGATTTTTGTATTAGGTTATTTGTAAAAGAATGTTAAAAGAGGAAGGATTTATATTTTACATTTTTCCTCTCTTAAAAGGCCACTGCTGAAGCCAACAACCTAGCAGCTGCAGCCTCTGCCAAGGACATTTATTATAACAACATGGAAGAGGTATGTAGGACATATGCCTTATTCTGAAATATCTGTAACATGGGCATTGTTGCTGACTTCAAAAGCTCAACTTGATCCTACTTCAAGTGTCTTCAAGTGATGAGGCAACAAAGCTGTACCTAGGTTGTCCAGGTAATGGGGGCCATCTAATTATTACCATTTATTTTTTTGTTTAGTTTTGTTTTTGTTTTTTTGAGGCGGAGACTCACTCTGTCATACAGGCTGGAGTGCAGTGGTGCAATCTCGGCTGACTGCAACCTCCACCTCCCAGGTTCAAGCGATTCTCCTGCCTCAGCCTCCTGAATAGCTGGGATTACAGGTGCTCGCCACCACAGCCAGCTAATTTTTTAATATTTTTAGGAGAGACAAGAGTTTCACCATGTTGACCAGGCTGATTTCGAATTCCTGACCTCAAGTGATCTACCCGCCTTTGCCTCCCACATTTGCTGGGATTACAGACTTGAGCCACTGTGCCCATCCCAGTGTCACTGCTCTTTCCAATTAATATTATCATCCCGGTTATATAAGTGTGCTTTTCAGAGGAAGTGAAACTAGATTTTATTGGTCTTAGTCATCTTTTAAAAGTTAATTTATTAATATCTTGTTAACATCTTAAAACATTCTATCACTTTTATCTTTTCATGTTTTATTTGGCACTTGTTTTTGAAGAGATCTTTTAACATATTGTGTCTTTGTTCTCTTTAGGTTTGTGGGGGAGAGAAACCTTATTTATCTCCCGACATTCTAGAGGAGAAGCACTGTGAATTCAAACAACTTGCTCTGGACCATTTTAAGAAGACCAAGAAGATGGGTGGGAAGGATTTCAGCTTTCGTTACCAGCAGGAGCTGGAGGAGGAAATCAAGGAATTATATGAGAACTTCTGCAAGCACAATGGTAGCAAGAACGTCTTCAGCACCTTCCGAACCCCTGCAGTGCTGTTCACAGGCATTGTGGCTTTGTACATAGCCTCAGGCCTCACTGGCTTCATAGGTCTTGGGGTTGTAGCCCAGTTGTTCAACTGTATGGTTGGACTACTGTTAATAGCGCTCCTCACCTGGGGCTACATTAGGTATTCTGGTCAATATCGTGAGCTGGGCGGAGCTATTGATTTTGGTGCTGCGTATGTGTTGGAGCAGGTAAGTGGTGCTGCTGGAGGGCCTGAGGGTTGATAATGGGCAGATATTTGTGCTTGTGTTATAAAATACCTCGTTTAGAAGAATTTCATGGCAAAGACATGAGCAATGGCCACTTCCTTGGCCATTTTTTCCTGATAGACTTTATGTTTTATTATCCTTTTTGGATATTAATATTTGTTTTGTTTGTTTTTTGTTTTTGAGATGAAGTCTGTCTTTGTTGCCCAGGCTGGAGTGCAGTGGCACGATCTCAGCTCACTGCAGCCTCCCCCTCCTGGGTTCAAGCAATTCTCCTGCCTAAGCCTCCCAAGTAGCTGGGATTACAGGTGCCCGCCACCATACCCAGCTAATTTCTGTATATTTAGTAGAGACAGAGTTTCACCATGTTGACCAAGCTGGTCTTGAACTCCTGACCTCAGGTGATCCACCCGCCTCGGCCTCCCACAGTGCTGGGATTACAGGCGTGAGCCACTGCGCCCAGCCTATAAAATTTTTTTTTAGAGACGAGCTCTTGCTCTGTCACCCAAGCTGGTATCTTAGCTCACTGTAATATAAAACTCCTAGGCTCAAGTGATCCTCCTGCCTCAGCCTCCCAAGCAGCTGGTGTTACAGGCGAGTGCCACCACCCCCAACTAACCCAGTAGCTCTTGAACATGGACATGGTTAATGTCCATGTCCAAGGTCCTTGAGATGATACATTTGTTTTCTGAGTAACATAAGCAGATGAGTTGGGTTAGCAGCTTGTGAAGCTACAGGAGCTGCCCATCCTACCCTAGTCACAGAGCGCGGGTTCCCATTATCTTGGGTGTTAGCTGCTGCCACAGCCTCCCTGTCTGTATCCCTACATTTTCATTCCTCTGCTTTCTGTAACATGCTGATGATGGAGATAGGTTTTTGAAAGTTTATCTCTAAGGACTTACTTTCTTGCCATGTTGTATTTTATTAACTTACATATTGAATAAATGGACTTTTGCAGGCGTCTTCTCATATCGGTAGTTCCACTCAGGCTGCCGTGAGGGATGCAGTTGTCGGAAGACCTCCTGTGGATAAAAAGTCTCAATAGCACCGTAACATGAATTCAAACAAGGCCACAACCAGCCCCTTCTGACTTCTGGGTTTCTGCCACGGCCACAGGTTCATATCCAGAGGAATGGCAAATCTGAGACCATCCAGGAAGAGCTAAAACATGGCACTGTAATAAATGAGCAGACCTCTCCTGTGGTTCCAAATTATTAAATGCACTTCCATTTCTGTTGGAAGCATTTCTTTTCCTTGCTGTTATAGATGCAAGCCTGTGTCTATTCTCATGTTACTCTGCTTTGTGCACTTTATGGGGGAGGAAGCTATAGGAAAAATAGAAATGCAGCTCTTAAGTTCTTTATGTGCCACTTAGTGCCTTTTAAGATTGATTCCATGGTTTTGCAGACACAGTGGGGAGATGAAAGATGCCGTAGATGCCATTTTGGGGTGAAACTTGTCATTTCTTTTATAGTTTACTCTTTTGAGAAGGATTCCTTTTTTTTTTTTTTTTTTGAGACAGAGTCTTGCTCTGTTGCCAGGCTGGAGTGCAGTGGCGTGATCTTGGCTCACTGCAACCTCCACCTCCTGGGTCCAGGTGATTCTCCCGCCTCAGCCTCCCGAGTAGCTGGGACGACAGGTGTGTGCCACCACAGTCAGCTAATTTTTTAAAATATTTTTGGTAGAGACGGGGTTTCACCATGTTGGCCAGGATGGTCTAGATCTCTTGACCTTGTGATCTGCTCACCTTGGCCTCCCAAAGTGCTGGGATTACAGGCATGAGCTACTGTGCCAGGCCGAGAAGGATTCCTTTTTTAAAAGTTTTCAAAACTTGGAGAAACATCAGAACTAAAGACTAACTATGATATCATTACTCTTAAAAAAAAATTACAATAGGGAATCGTTGCCATATAGTGTGGAAAAATCATATCATATTTAAATATACCACACTCTGAAATGTGAGTTTTTTACCCAGTAGGCTGACATTTTTGTCGTAACTTGCTCTGGTTTTTTTTTTTTTTTTGGTCCCTGTAGCTTCTTTCTAGAAAAAGGGACAAACATGCCTTGAAAAGCCAGAGGGGCTCATAATAAAAGGAATGAGCTAGTACTTTAAGAAAAAAGCTAAGTTTAAATGAACTGTGTGACCTCTGATAAGTCACTTGAAATTGTGCCTTGGTCAGGTTCACTGTAGGTTTACATATGTATGTATGTTGTACACAACTCTTGTAATTTTCACTTGAGAGGTTTTGTTTTTGAGAGTTCTGCATAAGAACGGAATTTTATTATGGATTAGAGGGAAGATATTACCAAATATTACTGCCTTTAATTGATGTCTGATTTCATGTGGCTTAGCAATTAATAAATAACCTGATTTAAAGTCTTCATTCAGAATGTTAATTTGCATTCTCTATCCTATCTAATGTTCTTGATAATGAAGCTAAAATTAACCCATTTTATTTAGTGAATCATCTTCTATTTAATTTTACTTTGGCTAGTCTGGTAGCTTTAAGATAGCTTTGGCTTAGTAAGGACCAAAATCCTACCCAAATATAAACAATTTCTAGAAGTATCTGAGAGTTTTTTTTTTTCTATTTACCTTGATTAGGAGATAAAAAGTTTTATCTGTTAGTTGCTTTTCCTTTTGGAATTATTGTGGATTTTAAAACTTCTTAAAACTTGCCTGCAAGTGTTTATATAAACATTGAGGTATGTAAGCCTTAATTTCTGAGCTAATTTAGCTTTTGTTATGGGAGAAAGGAAGAGTAAATTTTATATACATGAAGGTAATTACGTACCTGAAGGTAAGATCTGAGTGTAAATTTTATATACATGAAGTGTGAACGAAAGGTAGAAAAAAAGAAAATCCCTTTTAGCATGTAATCTGTTTATCAAAGAATTTTCTTTGGACACTTTACCACTAAGTGTTTTTATAAGTCCTAAGTTCCCAGTATATTATATTCATATTTATATGCCATCTTGCCCTGAAGTTCTTGCTGTTTTATTCACTTGCTGTTACACTTTACAAAAATTTCTGCTTGTTTACTTGCATTTATCAGTGATGCCAAGCTTTGACTGTTAACTTGAAAGCTTGCTTCTGAAATGTTGTTGTGCATTTTCAGGTTTCAGGTGACCTCTTGTCTCTTTGAAAGTTCATACCTATTAGCAGGCTCTATAAATATTGAGATACTTAGCATTTAATACATTCTATAAGTAAATTTATGGATTTCAGAATAATTGTCAAAAGTGGTTCTACTTTTAATGATGAGAAGGGGTGATGTGTCAGAAACTCATTCTAATACTAAAGTATTAGGTCACTTTAAAAAAAGATAATGTATGATTTAATGAAGTCCTAAGATTCAGTTACTATTTAAATTCACCATTTCTGTTTTGGTCTTATAAAGACATCTTGGTTTAATTATCCAGAAGTCCCCCTCACCTTTTTTTTTTTTTTTCCCCTCAGCTCTGCTTCTGGAAAGTGTTTGTAAAGTTTTCTCAGTGAGGATTCTTCAGAGTTTTCTTTGGGCTCTTTTCTCTCAGCAGGAAATTGATGATTTTATATCAACTTTTTCAATAAAAGATGCATTATCATTGCTGGCTATAAATCATCCTGGGGAGATTTATAACCAGGTTAAAAATAATGTCTTATGCTTCTCTCACCTTTCACTTGTGGTTCAGAAGCTCAGACTGTGCGTGCTTGTGTGGTGTTTGTTGCTCTGCCACTTTCCATGCAGGCATTTTAAATTTTGCATATTCCTAACAACATATGGAACTCATTCCTATGAATGTATCAAAAGAAGCTTCTGAAATTTTCCATTAAAATATTTCAGGAGAAATTAAGTGTTGACAATTTGAAAAAATAATTTCAATGAGCTGCTTATAGTAAAAATAATAGAATCAGTTTTCATTCTTTCGCTGAGAAATCTTTCTGTAAGATTGGCTTGTAGATGAAATGAGACAAACTACTATGTATGATGAGAAAACACCTTCAGAATCATGCGTTATTTTTTTATTTTATTTTTTGAGACAGAGGTCTTGTTCTGTCACCCAGGTTGGAGTGCAGTGGTGCAGTCTTGGCTCACTGTAACCTCTGGCTCCTGGGTTCAAGCCATTCTCCAGCCTCAGCTTCCTGAGTAGCTGGGACTACAGGTGCACACCACCATGTCCAACTAATTTTTGTATTTTTAGTTGAGACGGGGTTTTGCCATGTTGGCCAGGCTGGTCTCAAACTCCTGACCTCAGGTGATCCACCCAGCTTACAACTTAGCCTCCCCAAGTGCTGGGATTGCAGGCGTGAGCCACCCTGCCCAGCTGAGTCATGCCTTATGTTCATAGTATACCAAGAAATGTTCTTCGGAGGTTTACGTTTTAACACCTCTTTTATACTTGGTAAAATTGCCTGTGAATATTGTTTCTCTTTATTCTTTTTTTTTTTGAGATGGACTCTCGCTCTGTCGCCCAGGCTGAAGTGCAGTGGCATGATCTTGGCTCACTACAACCTCTGCCTCCTGCGTACAAGCGATTCTTCTGATTCAGTCTTCCAGGTAGCTGGGATTGCAGGCATGTGCCACTACACCCTGTTTATTTTTGTATTTTTAGTCGAGATGGGGTTTCACCATGTTGACCAGGCTGGTCTCAACTACTTCAGTAATCTGCCTGCCTCAGCCTTCCAAAGTGTTGCGATTACAGGTGTGAGCCACTGCACCTGGGCCTGTTTTGCTTTATTTTTTCCCTTGCATGAAGTAAAGTGCTTTGGTCAAACAGACACAAACAAAAATACTGCCTTGTACTGATGATCAGTTTCACTAGTGGATCACACACAGTGTTCTACTTGGCTTATAAAAATGGTGCCTTGGTACGCCTGTAATCCCAGCTACTCAGGAGGCTGAGGCAGGAGAATTGCTTGAACCAGTACTCGGGAGGTGGAGGTTGCAGCGAGCCGAGATCGCACCACTGCACTTCAGCCTGGGCTGCAGAGTGAGACTCCGTCTCAGGAAAAAAAAAAAAAAGTGCCTTGGTTAGGGTGAGTTTGGATAAGTATGTATGTATGAGTTATAGCAAAGTAGGTTGAATCAAGAAGTTCCAGGCAAAAGCAATAAAACAAATAAGTTTTATTTTTTCCTAGGTTCTTTTTAAAAAATGATGTCACTTATATGGGAGTCTTCATAAAACTTTTTTCTTCCCTGGAACTATTGAAATATAATTTAGGATGATTTGATGTTCCATCTCAAGGTGCCAACATGGCTGTGTCATTCTGGCTGACACATTTTTGATCTAACAAAATTCTAGTCAAGGGATAACGGCATAATGAAGAAAAGCTTCAGTTATGAAAATACAAACTATTTGTGTGATTAATTTTTAAAAATGACGTTAAGAAGCCCATTGCAAAAGAACATTTGCAGTTGAATTGTTTTTCTTACGTTGTAAGTCCTGTTGTACCTACGTTTTGGGTAGTGGTTCTCATCTACCTTGGAGTGCATAAGACTTACCTAGCAGGCTTGTTTAAAAAGTTCAGATTCCCAGTTTTGTACCCTAGAGATTGCCTCAGTTGGTATGGACTGTGGCCTTGGAATCATCACTTTTATAAACAGTGGTTCAGAGGCCACAGAGAGAGGCTGCTTCATTGAATGGGAAGTACCAAGGAGAAGGTACAATTCTGTATTGTCTGGAGGCAAGTGGACACTTTTTACCTGAGGTTTAGAATAGGTGGTCTCTGGCCAGGTACAATCAGCAGGCGTTTTCTGTGTTCAGAAGTAGTAAGGATGCCTCTAATTCAGAGGATTATCTAAGCTCCTTACAGCTGTTTTTCTCCGTTGTATTTGTGCCTTCTCTGAAAAACGAATGTACAAGTATCCTATTTTCTAACAGATGTAATTAGGATTTTTAAAGTTTTTCTTTTAAAAAGTAAAATTCAGCACTGTGACTTGAACCCCCAAATCTTTCACATACAGGAAACATTAAGCCACAAATAAAAATAATGAGCAAGAAGGAAGACAAGATCATAACTTCTGTTATTAGTGACCTAACTACCCCATATCAGAAACTTTGCAAAACAGATCTAGGACAGAAAGGTTTTGAAAGACATTTTTCTTTGGGAAGGAATTTCACGTGCCAGAACTCAGGTTTAAATGTAGTGTTTTTATGAGCGAGGGAAGGTAGCATTGATTTCCAAAGCTTTCTAATTGGGTACATGCTGTCATGGATGTAAGCCTTAAAGGAGTTAATACTAATCTTGTACATACAC